CTGTATTTTGGTATTTTACTCCACACATAGAAAATTCAAACGTGCATTACAAATTATTATAGTAATGGCAGCCAGAATATGAGACTTGAGGATGTAGGACAAAACCTTTAAATCCCCAATTCTTGGCTTCACAAACTAAATACTGTGAGCCTGAAGGTGGAATAAAAAGTTGAGTGAGCTAACTAGATAAATTATAAGCATTACCAACTTCATAGCACTCAAAGTAAATTGTCTCCCAGATCAACATCTGTGAGATTTCTGACCCTTTACTGATGCCTTATGGCCAGGAAGTGTCTCAGCAAACAGTCTTAATCTTTGTGCCACAGCCTAGAAGTAGCTGCAATTTCTGGTGCTCTCTAGCACATTTTTAGCCACGAGCCAGACAAGCAAGCTGTAGTTAATCTATATTCAATATTCATAACTATATGAGAAATCAAAAAGGAAAGAAAATCATGCATTGGGAAAGAGATTTTTTCAACCATCTACATTGCCCTAACAATCTTTGTACATACATCAAGTGTTAGAACACCTCCAGGGACTGTTCTTGCTTAGGATTTTGAAAATGCTGCTTTTTACATCCAGAACCCCGTGCAGGAAAGACATAGCATTGAGCACTGGCAGGCAGCTTCACAGAATAATATTTTTAATTTAGCAAATCTGAGCAGGGCCAAGGAGGCATTTAGGGCCTTTAGCAGGGCCCCCCCAGATGGGACAAGCTTACAGCTGTAAGGTGGCATTTCAATCAGCCTTGTGAAACAAAGGGAGAATCTTTCTCTGCTGCAGTTTTCATGTGTCCTGACCAGGTTTTATAGTTGTCAGGATTTTGTCTCCAGATTCTGTAAGGCAGGGATTTTACCCTGTTACGGTCCATTAATAAGATTGCTTTGACGGCCCAGCCTCAAAAAAGCCAAATACAGTAATACCAGAGAAGCAACCAGCATACTTTCTCCTTGGTCCCCAGGTAAAAGATGACACAAGCCAGGTCTTGAGTGTATTTGGAAAAACGTGAGATTGCAGTTGTGAGAGAGTAATAGCTGTCCTACTGCAGAAGGTATATTCCACCTCTCAGTGCCACTCTTGAAAAACTCCTGTGTTGAAACTGGGGGCTTTTTTGGGGGTGGGGAGATTTTTTGGTAGCTCCACTGATCTGTTGTTTCTTTATTTATTAGGAGTAATATCTTGCACTTGATTCATGACAATCCCTGTTAACATTCCTATCCCAACTGTCAGCACAGAGCCAACTCAATTACCATAAAGCCTGACGAGTTCTGTTTCATTTATATATACACGTCCAGATAGAAAATCTTGTGAAGCTGTGTTCAGCCACACCTGTGCCATGATGGTAATGCTTTACACAGATGGGGAAAAAGTAATGGAGAAAGGTGTGACTGAGTGCATGGCTACCAGTATCATTATAGCTGTCTGAGAAGACAAGAACCAACACTGACATTTCACTGATGTTAAAGCAGCAGCAAAGGAGAACCAGGTTCCTCCTTATGTTTTCTTAGGTCTACAACACTGGCCTAGAAATGTCATGAGATTGTGGATTTTTCTTAAAAGAAATGGGGTTTTTTGTTGCTGTTTGGCTTTTTCGTCCAGTCTTTCACTCCTGATCCCAGACAGAATGAGAGTGACCAAAGAATTCTAACCATCAAAATAGTTCTGGATACATGTGCATTTTGTGTGGAAGTTTTGGATCAGCTTTTGCTTCATCCCTTTTCAAATTGAAGCTGGACAGTTTTATAAAATATGTGCAGTTCACACTGGGGATATGCATCTTGCTTGATAAAATAATTTCTAATGATCCACAATTCCCGTTATGGGTTCCTGTACAAAGCAAGCCCAAACTGTATGTATTTGCAAAGTCTGTCAACAGAGGATGACTGCGCTGCATACTGGTGTAGAAATAGGTACTGTTACCACCACAGTCATTTCACCAAGGCATCTGCCCCAAAGGGCAGTTTGCAAAGGAAGCCTTCACTATGCCTTGTGCCTGATCTTCCAAGATTCATCTTTTCAGATAGCTTTTGGAATATTACAAAAAAAAGCAGAGGGTGGTGCATGGAAACCTCCACCACGTTTCAGCAGCAGGGTTTGTGCTGCATTTTACCCATTTTGTTCAGGCAGCTTGAATGGTTTTCTGAATGGAGGACTTTGATATTCCCTCTAACAGAGCTTCAGGAAGATGATAAGCTTGTGACCTCCAAGTAGATAGTTTTTTCATTGATCAGTCCTCAGTCAGCATTTCCAAGTCATCTTATAGCTGCATTCAGTATAGAGGAAATTATCTTCTAGCTTTTTCTAGTATTTCCTAACAGTTTAAACAGCCTGCTCCTGTGAGCCTCTGAGCACTTTGTGGCCCTGAAGCGTAATCATGTGCATCAACCTCTTTGCTGAGCTGGAACTTGAGGGTATTCAACATCTTCCTGTTGAGGGCCTAATACACTCACACAGCCAAAGTGAGCCTTCCTCTTACCCTTCCTCTTAAAAAATGTGAGGAGAATTTCAAGGTTCATTACAATAACTTGTATATCTAATAATACAGCTATACTGAAAATTATTTTCTCAGCACAAATCAATTTAAATGTACAGAACACCCTTTTCTCCAGTGTGAAACCCTTTTGGAAAAAAGTCTTACCATTTCAGAGAGCACCATTTACTTAAAGATTTCTTTGCAGTAATGAACATTTAAAGTAGCAATTAATAACATTTACAGCTCTCGAAAAACACGTTGCATGCTTTCCACTTCAGCGCAGAGCAGTGCTGAGGTCAGGAGTGAAGGTCCCAGCGCGTGAGGCCCTAGGCAAGTATAGCACCAGGCAATCCCGAAGATCACTCCTAAAATAAAAGTCACGACAAGAAGTAAACAGGCTGGAGGTGAACGTAAGTTTGCATCAGTATGCCACGTGCATGTGCAGAGCCTCCTCAGGGGCTGCGGTCCCCACCAGCACAGTGGCAGTGTCAGACAGCAGGGCTGCCTGCATGCTGGGGCCCAGACAGTGGCTCTGGAGGGCAGCTCTGCCAGTGCCACGGCAGCATAATTGATACAGCATCAAGGAGCAGCTTGCGTGAGCTATAAGCAGAGGTTGAAGAAGAATAAATTAGCGGTCACAGGGATATTTTTAAGCTAGTCTTGCAAATACTTAGAGCTACAGTGTACACTACTTTAGATTTGTATATGCTAATGCTTATTTTCAACATTGCTGTTAACAGCAGAAGGCATCACATTTGGGGGAAGTATTTTCAGGATAGGGCCCTTCATTTTTAATCCAGGAGTACTTAAGTTCAGTCTACTGCAAAATGTAGTTCTTAAACTGAATTGCCTCTCCCATAACTGCTTCAGGGTGATTTAAGGTTTCTGCTATAAAATGGAAGTTACAAGTCCATCAGAATGATCAAATTATTTATAGCACCTTGGGACCACAACTTGTCTCCATGTTTTATATGGCCGCACACTGTCAATGACTATGATATTCTGAGTTTTGAAGAATTTTTATATGGTAACAGGAAAACGTAAAGCTTTTCCAGCACGAGATTTAGCAAAATTCTGGAAAGGAGCATCAGTAAAGTCTATCATAATTTTACCTGTCTTCTTATCTTTTCTCTGCTCAGAGTCTGCAGGCTCATTCCTGACTTGCACTGTATCATTGCACATCTTGTAAAATTGACATCCTGCTTCATACGTTTTGAGATAAAGACTTTTCTTAGAATTGCATGAAGACTCCAAATGTTAAAAGGGGATAAAAATTAAATTTCTTTTTAAATAAAGATAGTGTGTTGATTGTTCAGAGTTTAGATGGGCAATTTTGTACCAGTGTGTGGCAACATTGCATCATGTAGGAAGGTATTAAATTATTTTTTAAATTTTTTTTAAGATTTTTTTTAAATGGCTGGCCACCTCTTCTATTCATTATTTAATCACTTATGAAACGTTCATAAAGACACCTTCTTAATTAGGTTCACATGTAATTTTAAAATTTCCTGTAATGATGTTGTCACAGACAGCAAAGCCTGTCCAGGACCACAGTGTCACTAAATGAATGACTGCCTTAGGAAGCCAGTCCAGCAATCCCCAGTGTTATACATTACCACTAGTAAGCAACTGTGCTGTGATTCCCATAGGAGGCTATCAAAGTCAGCATTCACTGTAAGAATGTCAACCTTGAATTATGTTTATAATGTTAAGAAATAGGCAGGACTGCATTATTGTGAAAAGTAATAACAATTCTTTTTCAACTGAAAGTATTAATTCTGCCAAAAACAGTTTTATTTTCTGTTAAGAGTATCGAAACATGACATTTTGTCTTGGATTGTTTTGAAAACTTTGTCTGTGTAGCACCTCCCGGGAGCTACAGTTCAGGTGTCTCTTGCCTTTTTCCCCACTGAGTCAAGCTCCCTAGTTAATTTTCTCTCCCGTAAGGGTGTACTGGTTATGCAGTTCTCATGAAGGATTGTGCTAGCACAGGACATTTTCTAGTGTTGTGTCCAATCCTATTTCAAATATTTGAGATGCTGGAATCACCATCGTTCCTTTGTGAGGTCCTTCCAAGTTCACTCGAATCTACTGGTCAGGATTGCTAGTTTTCCTTTTGCTTGACAGTGTTTGCTTACTATATGCCCCTTAAATCTCTCTCCCTTGTATTTCCTTCTTTGGAACATTATCTGCTGCAAGACCTCAATGAGAATAAACCTAAAACGTGGTTCTTCTGGTTTGTAGTATTTATATGAGATACAGGCATAGATTTTCTGTGTGACCTAAAGGAAATCTTTCCTTTGCTCTGTGAATCCAGGTACACACCAATAAAATGGAGATTGTCCTTTTCATTCTTGTTGGAAAATAGTGAGGGTCTTCACCTAAATATTGACAAAGAGCTTAAATAATGCAGCAGTAGAAACATGCACAGATTAGTACCGCTCACACCAGTAGCAATATGTTTCATCTAAAAGTTGTCAGCAGGTTTAATTTCTCTTTTGCTTTTTTTTTTTTCCTTATGTTCAAGATGTTGGAGCATTTTTTGAAGAGGGAATGTGGCTTCGTTACAACTTCCATTCTCCAGGAACTAGCATGAAGGATTTAGTTAGCCGAACACTTTTGAGTTCTACAGATCCTGAGACCACAGTGCCCAACCTCAACTTGAATAAAGAAGAGCTCAGCTTCAGCTTCAGTACCACCAAGTCCCCTTGTGTCCTATTGTACATCAGCTCCTACACCCAGGACTTCATGGCTGTGCTTGTCAAGCCATCTGGTAAGCAACTGCTCTGGGCTCTCTCCATTTAAGGCACAACTGGTGGCAACAGTTGTTGACAACACTAGGCTGGCATTCAGCTGAAGGTCTGAAATAATCTGGAACTCTCTTCATCCTTGTCACGTAAAAGTAAAGTATATGGGACCTAAACCTATATTCTGCTCTACTACATTTTGTACTGGTGTAACTGTTCAATTCAGTAGGGTTTCACTCGCCAACCCTTCCTCTCAAAACAAAAAGAACAATCCCCCCCCAAAAATGCTATAAGAGTCAGATCCATGCCATGAACTAGCATTATGGAGGGGACAATTACATCCATATGTAGGCACCTTAATCGCTGAAGTCATGGCAATATCACCAGTAGTCAGTGGAAAGTGACTGTTCTTCTGAAAATCTGACTACTTAACAAGGTGGGTAAAACAGGTTTGTAGCACAGTATATAAGGTCCTAAACATTTTGGTGATGGTTGAATGTTGGATATGGACCACTTTCTGTTACAATATCAAAACAGAATATATCTCGATTACAAACAGTGTCTTAGTATCCCATGAAAATCATACTTAGGATGATTTTACTACTATTCTCTTCTATGGGATAAGTTAATATCAGTATTCCACATGTCAGTCAAATTTTTCCCTTCATGGGGGAAAAAGAAGGTGCATGACAGCAATCCCACATCACATTGTAACTATAGTTACAAAGGTCTAGGACTGCTCCTTTGGGCCAGAATATTTCAGGTTTTGATCAATAATGGGGTCTGCATTTCCCTTTTCAAGCACCCTTCTTTTTAATCAAACATTAAAATTTGTTATTAAGAGAAAACACTTCTGTTTTGTTCAGAAAAGAAAAATGTGTCTGGCAGTATGTCATGAATATCAGTTACCCACTTTGGACTATACTTTTCTAACAATATAACCTGAGTTTTTCATTTCACCATGTATTATTAGATTTCCATAAACGTACAGATGGTCACCCATCAACAACAATTAAATGTGAGAATAAGAAAGTCTCTTGTGTAGATTATATATCAGTGTTAATTAGTTGTAATTTTGCCTTTATTCAATGCATATCAATGGTTTATTCTTTAGAACACATCATGCTTTGTATAATTTCAAATAATTTTGCTGCAGCAAGGATAATAATCTCAACAATAAAGTGCTACTTGATGTGCTCATATTTGTACCAATTGTCCATATTGTTCAAGGCATAGCTCTGATTTGTTTGGTTTGCAATCTGGAGTGTTTACAAACACTTTGGTTTTGAGATGCTGGTCATTGTCACACATCTGGGTTATAAAACAGAAGCATTTTTCAACCCAGTAGTTTTCTAATCTCACACACTAGCTCTTCCTCTGCAGAGACCAGCTCTGAGAACAATGTAAGTGTAAAATGATAACAGCTGTAGGTGAAAATAAAGAGGGGAAAATAGCTGGTAAATAAAGATCAAAATACCTGAGGGTGCTTTTCACATTTCTTTCACTAGGGAATCTGCAAATTCGGTACAGCCTAGGAGGCACCAAAGACCCCTATAACATTGATGTTGACCACAGAAACGTGGCAAATGGACAGCCCCATACTGTTAATATCACACGGAACGGATGGGACATAGTACTGCAGGTAAGTTGTAGGTTTGGTTCCATCACTTGTAACTTGTAGCATCTTCTATCTTGATGGTCTCCATCACTTTGAAGGTATCAGTACCATTTAGGAAATAAAAAGTATGATAGATGGGGTTCTGCCTGCAGATTGCACTCCTAGGAGTTAACAAAAGCTATTCTCTCCCTCTGTTGCATTGAATGATGTTGTTTCAAAGTCTTTGTTCTGGTGCCATGACAGCTGGGCTAATACAGGTGTCACTGTAGGTGCTCGAGGGTATCAGAGACATCTGGGCTGATAGATAACACGGGACTTAGGATAAAACCTGCACCATTCTGGAACAGCAGCTGGAAGCCAGGAGGGATACCCTACAGCATCTTAAATGGCAGTAGAGCCTGATGCAGAGACAACTGAATATCAAGCCATAAGTCCTGAGTCTGCAAGGGAGAATGTCTTTACATTTAAATTTACCCTGCAGTCCAGTGAAATTGGAAGCTGTTCTGCAAAGATGAACAGATGCTTAAGTGTTTGTGTGACAGGAGTCTAAGACAAAGAATGTTATTGAAGGCACATAGCTCTGGCTTATTTAGTTTTTGGTACAGCACAGGCAGGAACTTCATCTCTCTGTATCTCAGTTTACAAACCTTTGAGATAATATAATACTATTTAAATAACTGAGGGGAGCGCTGCAAGAAGCAATCAATGTTTCCAGACAGCTTTCTCTCTGTGGTCATTACAGCACTCTGTTTTCATTCCCTGGTTGTCACATCTGCAAACATGGAAATTACAGCAGGGTATGAGAACAGTTTTGTTAGAAGAGTCATCAGGTGGATGGTATAGATTAATCTGGATTTGATAGTTCATAAGAAGGAAACAAAAACCAGTAACAAATGAAATATAAAAAGAGGAAGTCTCTTTGGGAACCAAGCCAAAAGGTGAAGGATAGTACCTGTCACAGTATTATCTACCTAAAGATTAAAATAGCTCCCTGACAGTTATTGTTTCAAGGCATCAAAAGGAAACCTTTTCAGTGCATTACAATGTCATTTGACTGAGACTCTTGGTAATCAGAGTAACACTGGTTGCACTGAAGTAGAATTGTCATAAAATTATTTGCAAAATGCCAGCTAATCTAAAAAATATGTAGGTGATACATCCAAACACTTTTCAGGCTTTTGGAGGTTGGGAGAGGTATATATTGATATATGCATCTTTCTTGCATGCTGTTACATTTGGATTTATTTCTCTTACTGCTAAATGGAAGCTAAAGAATACCTACAGTTAGGTTGCCTTCTGCTGTTAAAAGCTTCTATTTTGGGGAGGTATGGCATGTTTCTTATGGAGTCATAGCTGGCTGATTTAGTTAGCTGTAAAACTAAATAAATGATTTTCTGGAAGGATCAGATGAGATAACTTGCTCAGTTGGAAAATACGTACACAGTTAAATATTCCAGCCTTGCTTCAACTTATATATATTTGGGGCCCAACCATTTTTTTTCCCCAGTGTTTTATGAGACTGCTACCTATCTAGGGCTTTAAAGGGCCAGAAACATTTTGGTTAGTGTTGCTCTGCTGGGGTAAAAATTTCTTAATCTAGCTAGTGTGCTTAAAACATAGCTGGTTTATGTAATCAGAAAGCATATACACTTGAGGTTTATTAAATCAGATGATCTGTCTGACGCACATGCAAGAACAGGGAAAGGAGGGACCCACACAAAGAAAATACAGAAATCCTACCCTTACTGTATCCTGAAACAGAAGATTTCTATGAAATTTTGTTTATTCTCCGTAAGGAGGTTGATCTTATCACTTACCTGGTTAAGTTCTGTAAATGAGAGAACTGATATGAGCAGAAATGGATCTGTTAATCATATTGTTCACTTGAAAATTAGTCCTGTTTTCAAATATAAACTCTTCAAGTTGTCTCAAAAGACAGAAGATATAAATACAAGTTTTCTCAGTATCCAGAGAACAAATCATAAAGTATGAGCTTTCTCTTGCAGATCTAAGCAATGAGCATTTGAGTAGACTTTTATTTCCTGCTAAATCCTTCTCCAACCTGATGAGCAGCTGGTTTCCTTGCTTTTAAAGAAGACAGCTTGCTTGCCAGGTGCTGTTGCTCACACTTCCACAACACTACATGGCATAAATGTGTCACAGGAAGTATTTATTTCTCATCAAAGTTTCAATTCAAGAGCATTCAGTTAGTATTTTTGAGATCTTAACAGCAAGTTCATACTTGGAATACCTGTCTTTCTAACTTACTGTAATAACCCTGTAGTGCCAGAGAGACTTAAAAAATCTGCAGCCAGGCAATAAATTGCTACAATATGAACTATGTGAATCTGAGTTTTATCATGATTCCCAGGTGTTTCACTTATATATAAATACAGTAAAAGACTCATTATTGAACTCAATGAGACCTCACCCCATGCTGGCAGACAGGAAACCACTGATTACTTACATAAAGTCAGAGTTACTGTCCAATCAATGAGTATTTGAGATGAGCTTTGAAATAAAGATATCCACCATATTGTATATCCATAAGGTAACAAACAAGAACAAAAATAAATATTTAGTGTGGATTGTTTTCATTAGAATTACATCCCTATTCTTAACATACCAAGAGAGTCAACACTAAAGGTTGTAGCAAAGACTCTGTCAAAAGGTTTTTATATTTCAGTTTTCTGCATTCACTGACTGCAGACAAATCAATACTTAGTTCTACATTAAATAACAAGCTCCCATTTGTGATGCCAGTGGTTTCTCAAGGCTAAGATTAAGGATATACAGTCACGAAAATGAAATTACATAAATTCAGGGACAAAGATCTACTTACATTCTGCTGTTTCTATGAGGTGGGCAAAATTAACATTTGCTATTAAGAATTCCTATTTCTTGCCTCTAGTAAAATACCAGATACTAGTAACTATGGCACACGTCCAAGGATGCATTAGTTCACCTGTGGCAAGAAAAAGCCCAGACTGACAGATACATTATCCCAGTAAATGACATTTCAAGAGCTCAGCTTTAGGTCATGGAGGGCAAGTTTTACTTTGTTAGACTTCATTGAAAGATTTCATGCTTCAGCAGCGTATTTTCCATATAATAAAACCAGATCACTCTATACCAAGTGTTCATGCGTGATTAATGCTTTTCTCACATGAGTAAAATCTTTTAGGAAAACTAAGAACAAAAACTCCCTAGCAGAGGTTCTGATCCAAAGTCCGTTGAAGTCAATGAAAGGCCTTCCATTGACTTCAGCAGGCTTTAAATTGTACCTTAAAGAACTGCAACAGTTGCATCCTTTGTGCAAGATTCATACCTCCTGCTTCTATGCATGTAGCCCGAGTAAACTAAGGGTGGCATCCAGATCAGAGATATTTCTGTTCTGTTGCACAAAGCTATATCAACATGTTACAAATTAAAAAAAAAAAAAACCCAAACCATATGATGTGCTTTAATTTTTGATGGAATAGAGCTGATAGTCAACAGATTTGGACTGGGCCTCTCAGCTTCCGTACTAAGATATTCTTGCACATTCTCAACAGATCTCCAGTTCTTCATACCTGCTTTAAAGCCTTTTCTAGGAATGGGTTATGAGTCACAGCTCCTAATGTCTTCTTTGTTCCTGAAAAGGATTAGACTTGAGTAACTTTTTCAGGACTCCAGTGTCCCAAATTCATCCATACACTTTCAGAACAACTATCAGCATCCAGTGCACATTAGCTCAGCAGACCATACGGAAGGATAGCTGACAGTTCATTCTTTCAATCTTGAACAATACTGAGAACTGTGGTAGAGAGACTAGACACAACAATACCATATATTCACAATGTTAATTACTGACTTCATTCAAAGTGAACTTAATTATGAGGCTGTATGGAAATCTTGACCTTATCTCAGCTGCTCATAAGATTGAGAATAATCCTGAAAATTTGTGTATGCAGATCTCCATTTTCCAGCTTCACCAGAAGCACGCAGTAGAAATACTCATCTTCTGTGAAAAATTATCAATTAAATATTTGACCCTTGCCCAAATGAAATCAATAGGAATCAGAGTTTTTGCAAGTCCATTCTCTTATTTTGACTTTGAATTTATTTTGATTTTTTACTACTTGAAAAGAGATAACATTTGCAAACTCCTAGGTGTTTAAAAAATTTAAATCATACAAAGTTACTTCAAAACTAATCTGAAGTACAAAAAAATGGTAAACATAATATCAATAAAATAAAATGGGTGAAGTGGAACAAAGCAGTCTGCATATAATCCCAAGCTTAAATGCAATGAATATATCACAGATTTTTATAATTGTAGATTAAATTTTGGTCTCATTAAAGGGAGTGGGAACTTTCTCATAGACCTCAGTGAGGCTATAATTTAACCTCCTACCATTATTGTTGCTGTAGAATAATACCTAACTATCATGTTTCATATATTTTGAAGTCCCAATAGAATACGATCACTCTGTTTGAACTCTTCCTTAACAGAGGCCATAAAATTTCACCAAATGATTTTCTGCAGCTAACCCAAAAAGTAATGATAGCAGTATAATACATTTCTAGAAAGACATTTTATCTAGCTTTAAAGACTTCAAATGATAGAAAATTTACCATATCCTTTGGCCATGTTTTCCAATGGTTGGTTAAGTGCCATTCCTGTAAATAATTCGCACCTAATTTACAGTTTGAATTCTGCAGACTACAGCATTTAACTTTGGGATCTTTGTGTCTATGTCTGATAGATGAAAGAATTGCTTGGTGCCAGGTGTCATTCCCTTTCACACTTTCTTAGAGATGCTGATTAAACTATCTTTTCATCTTGTCTGTAAGAAGCTAAATAAATTGAATTATTTTAGTTTACCATCAGAAGTACCGTTTTTGAGCCATAAAACAATTTTATAACTCTTCTCTGAAAACTTTTCCATTGAGTCACATTTTGAAAACCTTCACGCAAGGATTACACATGGTAATGGTAGTTATGGCATCAAAACAATGTAGAAACTCCTTTTTTTATTATT